AAACCTTGTCTATATAATGTTATTATCAAAAATACATTCAAAATTTATGCCCTTTTTTCAACGTAATAGACGGAAATTTTCCTTCAAATTTATATTTATCAAGTATATTTTGTTTTCATTTGGTAAAAAAGTTCAAAAGCTCCTTAAAATTAAGATCTCCAGAAAAGTTTGTATTTAAGTATAAGCGGATCTTGTTAGCCGTAAAATTAACATGTTTTTCGTCAAAATCACAGTTTCTAATGATAGTAATAATTTGGAATAAATGCTAACCATTTAAATAATCTACATCCTTATAAATAAATTAAAGAATAAATTCTAACGATTAAACAACAAGACGTCAAAACCGTCGTAACTATTTCTGCCGCTGAGAAGAAGTACGCCTACCGTCATCCACAGCTGTGTTTTGATTTAAAGGGAAGAGAGCCAACACAATTAAAATATAAGAGATATTTTATCTTTGTCCTGATTATGAAGGGTGAAAACCAAAGAGATTATATAAAAAAAAAAAAATATATATATATATATATATATACTATAGAGCGGACATTGGGAACATTTGCATACAAAAACGGTGAGCACGCACGTGTGTTATGCCGTCTAGCGAAAAATAGCAATACTACGCTGAATTTTTATTTGGAAAACATTTTAACTATTTCCCATTAGGTGACGCTACTAAATATAAGGTAAAAATCCGTTTTAGGCACGTCGTCATTCACTAACATATTTGTAAATAAATAGTGACGTTACTGAATAACAGAGGGTACTTATTACAGTATTTTTTCTTACAATATTTTTTTTTCAAGAAATAATAACATTTAAATATTATTTGGTAAATATACATTATTCTTTGGATAATAAACCGAAATTACGTTCATTTTTTGCTCCATATCGTGACTTACAATACCTTAATGCACAACCGGGCCTATTTTCTTTAAAAATATTTTTTAAATTTATGAAACGAATGCGTCTTGAGCTTTCGATGATGTTACTTCGACAAAATGACAAAAATCGGAGATAAATCCTATAGGACAAAAGTTACAGACGATAATATTTTTGCTGATGTCCGGTCTATTACTACCACTTAAATGTCTTTGGTGAAAACGCATGTGTAACCTTCGACATTTGAAGTTAAAAAAAGAAAATAAACTCGACGATATAAATTGAAGTTTGGTAAAGAAATACAGTGCTTAATGAAAATCGACATCATATTTACAACTAAGTTTGACAAGCGTTGTACAAATAAGTTTAACGTTAAATTTTATTGCTTTATAAATTTTATAATATACATTTTAATTAAACAGCCTTATTTAGTGCTTTGTCTAAAATCTATGACAAATGCTTCACGCACACTTTTGCAGCCCTTACTTATTTAAACGAGGAAAATATCAAGCATCAACTACGTCACAAACACGATTTGGTAAACAGACGCAGAGCAAGTGTTCAGCTTTAGGCCTGAATAAACACGTAATAATGATAAGCCCAATGAGGTCCTTTCACTTTATGGAGGTTTGAATGTTTCGATAATAGAAATTCTTGTGGATTTGTAGATCTATTTTGGACTCTATTAATTAAATAAGATAGAAACAGTTAGATAATTTATGCAATTTGGAATGCAAAATATATATTTAAATTTTTACACAAATATAAATAAAGTATTTTCTTAATCTTCTTGAAACCTGAAACTTTGAAAGTCCACTACTTTTCCGTTTTAGTAAGTTAATGCCTGAAAAGTAATGCTTGCAGAATTTTTTCTTTGTTATTCATGGAACCGACAGCACGTTAATCTTTCATTAATCAATATATTCTTTATTAAATAAGGTACAACAGGCGCTGTTATCGCTCTGAAATCAACAGCTTTACAAAGAATTGCGTAAAGGGAGACAAAAATCTATTTCGTATATATGTATAAAAAAAAAGTCAAATTAGTAGTTTTTAGAATTCTCGTCTGTCTGTGTATTCAAGATTCGCGCAAAAGCTACTGAACATATTTCCATGAAATGTTGTGTGTAGATAGTTAGGAATCCGGGGCTACTTACGGACTACTTTTTATCCGATTACGGAACTTCAAAAAAGGAGGGTTACGTATTTTCCTTCCTTTAGATGTCTGATAGTCGTAGAGCCATGCTGCAGTTATATTAGTAGTATAATTTTTTTAAGAAGAGGGGGCAAACTAGCATGCGGCTCACCTAATGTTAAGTGACTACCGCCGCCCATGATCAACCGCAACACCTGGGGAATTGCAGGCGCGTTCCCGGCCCTTTAGAAAGGAGTAAGCTCTTTTCTTGAAGGTCCCCAGGTTGTAGCACGAATGGGTCGGCTCAACCCGGGAAGGACCACGCTCTCACAGAATACCAGCGTGAAATAGTAGCTTAATGCTGCTGTGTTTCGTATGGTGAGTGTAGAGAACCGGAGACCCTTTTTACTGGACACGAGGCATTTCATCTTAGTCTTCACGGGTGGCAACGCATCTGAATTTTGATTCTTAGTCGAGGATAAATGTAGATGTCTATGGGCCACAGCATCCAATTACCATCAGGTGGACTGTGTGCTCGTTTGTCACCCTATCCTATTAAAAAATGTTCATTTCTACTTTATACGATTGATTTGTTTATTAAAGTAAATAAAATATTTATAAGTATATCCCAAAATTAGTTTTAAGTGTTGCCTAATAAATTGAACTATGCCGACAATCTACGATATTATAATTGTATTCACTTGTTCGAGACAGTGCTGAAAGTGCTGTTGAAAATTAAATGCACTGGAGATTTTTATCCATAATTGATGAAATAGCTCGTGATACTGTTGACGCAGGTTTTTTTTTACTTTTAATGATTTTTTTAAAACACTTACACTTTAAAACACTGTCATATATTAAGAGAGCTTTCATATTTTCAGACATAATTATTAAAAATTTTGTGACATTCTCGGTTTTATACCTCACATGAGTAAATGAATAGACTCTTGCGAAAAAGTACTATAAATATTAATAAATATCAAAGAAAGCAAATTTTAAACACGGGTTTATTTTCAATTTAACTATGAGTAGAGTTTTTTTTTCGCTGCCTCTACATGGCTAATATATAATTTCTACTCCCGTTCATCCATTGAAAATCCTCTACAGACTGCTAAATAAGAATAAAATAATTAAAAATTGGCAAATATCCGATATTTGCTAATTTTTAATTATTTTATTTTAAATTTTTAAGTTTTTTATTATTTTTAGCAATGATCAGGAAGGCGCTCCTGCCTATCTTACGTAGACTTTTACTCCTGAATTTAGTTCTTCTTAAACGTTCACCGTAAATAGAACTACATTTATGAAATTTTGAAGTCTACTCGAATGTAAAAAAATACTGGCAAGTGATGTTAATCAATATTCAATAGGATCAATATTTATAAATACCATGAAATTAAACTTTGTTTTATCAAAACTATATCAACTTTAATAATGAATATTGTATAAATAACGCATTTCCAATTCCAAGGCAATTTTCCCTTCATAAAGACACATCGAAAGACGTGCCCATATAAAAAAAAGTTGTTGCTCGACGTATGATATTTATGCGTGTTTTTGTAGCCTATAATATTGCCAATATAGACAAAATTAGTAAAACTGGATCACGTCTCTACAAGTGATCCAGTTTTGCTAATTTTGGTACGAAATAGTACTATAGATGTTTCTAAATTCAAGCCCACGCGAGCGAAGCCGTGGGTAAAAAGCTAGTTCTTAAATAATTCTTTATGTCAATAAAAGAGTTTTCTCAAACCAAATTTCGGTCACGGTGGCCAGCCGCAACGTCGGCTCAGGACAGGATTATGCGCAAGTTAATGCGCAAGCACAGGTGCACTCTCTTTTCCCAACTCTCATAGTACGATGGGACGGTAAATCGACATGACTGGATAGAGATCAGGCACAGGACCAACGGCTTTACGTACTTTCCGAGGCACGAGGATGAGACACCGCCAAACTCTTGACTCCGGTTTCCTAGTTGCTGAGCATTTCTTGACGAAAAAACTCCATAACTAGTTTTTTTTTTATCCAACCCGGAATACCAAGACCTCATGATCAGGAGTCAAATTTACAAACACTTGACCAACCAGGTAGTTTTATTTTATACAAGTCGTAAACGTAAATAACCAACCATGCATCTCGTTAACAAGTCGATTCATCTTGCAATGTAGGGAACTTGCCACGGGTAGGATCCATAGATCTGACGTCACTTATATTTAATATAATAATCAAAAATCATTTATTCTACCAATTTTTAGATTCCTCACAATTTTTCAAATAAAATTTTGCCCAGATCGGCACTACTCTCCATCTTTTTGTATACGTAAGTCTGTGAGAGAGAGAGAGAGAGAGAGAGAGAGAGTGTTTAATTACAATCGATTCAGCCGAGTCGAAGATAAGCCCGCCCAGACAGACGAAAAAATGGTTGCTCATATCTTAATGGCACGCAAGTAACCCCATCAGCTCAATAAAAGTCAATTATTTTAATATCGCACACAGACAACTCAATTTAATTTATAGGTAGAATATATTTTGGTACACGAGTATACCTAGTATCTCAATTCAGGCAGAATGTCACCGATCTTTATCCTTTAAAGTCAAAAATGAGAGAGATATATGGACGGCTCCAGTTTATCTCGGTACACCTAAAATGACATAAAATGTCAGTTGTAGGACTGTACATCAGAAGTATCTTGTATCCGAGCGTGATGGTCACGCAAGTTTTCACTTTAAAAATATTTCAATTTCCCGTTATATTCGTTAACATCACTGCCGTGTACGTAATTAATCAGCACTTAAAATTTAAATAAATAATTTCATTGGTATGAGGATCAAGCTCCGGTTGCTTGTGAACTATGAAACTTACGGCGAGCACTTAGCTGCTGACCTGTCCCTTACAATTTGATTTGAATATAAGTTCTAGCAATTTTTAATTTATTGAAAATTTTATCTAAAGAATTAGTGTTTTAATTTATATATAAAAAATTACCTTGTGACAAAGAACATCAATATCTAACTCATTCGCGACGTCTTTGATTAAGTCCATAAATAGGTCTGCCTCGTCGAGCTGCCTTTGCGCTGAGCTGCTCGGAGATCGCGACCGCTGAAAATAAGAAAAAATACGGTAACTAAGTTAGAAATCCTTCGACCTTTACTTATCTATTACTGCTACTTCTATTTTACGCTTATTAAGTCTGCCAACTGTTTAACTTCATCGTCATCGCCTTCACAGCCTTTCAATAGTCTACCGCTGAACACTGACTTCCCCGAGGAATGCTACTAGTGTTACATCACTCCATCTAGTGGTGATGGCCGGTAAGCAAACTGTCGGTACACTCGACAATACGAGTCCACTTCAAGAGCTTTTTTTCAGTTGTCGATTGTTCGAGTTAAAACGTGATTCCAAGGCTTTTACTTTAATCTTTACGTGGCAGTGCTATGCTGAAGCTCCATTATTGCTGTAGCATGATGGCTGAGCTTGCCCGGTTAACGACCACGCCTTCATAGAGTGCCAACGTGAAATATCAACTCAATGCTACGTTTCATGTGGTAACCGTAGAGAACTGGAAATCTTTTTTTAATGAAAACGGGGCATTCCATTTTAGTCTTCAGGGAGCACAATGCATCTGGATTTTGATTTATATTCGAGGATGGATACGTCTATGGACCATAGCATTCATTTACCATCAGGTAGATTGTATGATCGCTTCTCTCACTTATTATTTGTAAATCAAAAAACGCAAATTCAGTACTAACACAATCATCAAAGAAAGATGCCCATTTTTCACCTGATTGTGAATAGAAATGAAATAAATTATTAAAATTCATTTAAGTGAATTGTAAATTAATGACGCTTATCACATTCTTAAAAGAAACGCAGGAAAAAAATATTATTTAATATTTATTTAAGCTTATTCTACGTCAAGGGTAAAAATGAATTAGCATATTTTGAACGCATCTCAACTATCCTTTTTCCAGGACGTTACACATTGCTACTTTATTCAACTCCGTTTCTGAGTTTAATACATTATTTTATGTTTCATTTAATCAGTAAGTATTAAACAAGTTCTAATTATAAGTTCTAGCGCATTTATTTCTTTATTACATAATAGGTAACGGCAAATCCTAACCTAAAAAGTGGCATTAATACTTTTTGGGCTTCGTAGCGTTTAAGTCGTAAAAATGACTATTATGACATTATTTTCTAAACTTAAATGTAGTTTTTCTACTATACCATAAAACTATACATAAACTTTCACTACGAAGTTTTTAAATGTATGGAAAGTGGGAATGATTCTTTGTTTCATTAAAGTATAGATCGTTAATCAGCACAGGACACAACTGAAATTAATATTACAAGAAAATGTTGGAATATTCTTCTTTACGTTTCATTTGTATAAATCAAGGCAAATTTTCGATTTTAATTTTTTTTAAACGTTACCTCCACACTAGAATTTTCTCCTGTATCGTGGGGCATTTACAAACACAAATTTCACAAGGATAACCCATCCAGACCCGGAACAATTACTTGTACGCCATACAAATACTTGTTCCGTGCGGGATTAGAACCCGCGGCCCTTAGCGCTGTAACTCATTGCTAAGCCAATGCGCCACGGAGCCGTCTGTAATAAACATTAACATTTTTTTTATAGAAGAGGCGGCAAACGAGCACGCGGCTCACCTGATGTTAAGAGACTACCGCCGCCCATGATCAACCGCAACACCAGGGGAATTGCAGGTGCGTTGCCGGCCCTTTAGAAAGGAGTAAGCTCTTTTCTTGAAGGTCCCCAGGTCGTATCGGTCCGGAAAAACCTCGCCGTTGGTAAACTATTCCACAGAGAGGTTGTACGCGGAAGAAAAACATCATTGACACATTAGTTCCGTCAACAAACCCTAGATCTACGCCCGTTTGGCTTAGGTTCATTTCGTGCCTAATATCGGTTTAACGTGATTAAATATGATAAAAATTTAAAATTAAAGAATTTTTTTTTTACAGTTAGTACACTATTTTTAGTACGTTTACTTAATTAAGATTATATACGAATAGAACGCATCGCCCCCACACTGCGTACACACCGTACAACCACATCACTGAAAACAGAACGTCAATTGAGACTAGTTTACAAAATGATAATTAACAAAATTAAACTCAAACCAAAGCATACCACTGCAAGCCTTCATGATACTATAAGCTCGTTTTGCGTAAATCTGACCAAAAATGAATATTCAAAAAACTGAAGGTAGCCGGGCTAACTATGACATTGGGACGTCAAATATCTCAGCCCCCCCTCCCCGTGACCATGGGTGCTGTAAATCACCCGAAACGTCGGGATAGTAAAAAATAAATTATAGTTGTAATTAAAACGCGATATAATCCGTAAATAATAGTTTTATTCAACTAGTAAAGCAGTCAGAGATGGCGTTCACACACCTCTGTTCAGACGGTGGTAAGATAATTCGCAAACATCATACAGGTGATCTGACGTTTGATCACGAACCAATTCATTATCATCATTATCACCATCGCCATTCTCTTTGATACAAGTCGCTTACGCAGCCAAGTAATCATACAGAAGTCAAACTCACAGACGCTTACGTTACGCAAGCGAAGTCTAAAGATAACATTGGGGCCTTGACGCTAATTTTTATTTATTTTAAATATTAGTAATCTTATTAATTAACATTACTAATATTCCTTTTAACCACTCCTGGTAAGCTTGAAACGCTTGTGTTAGGAGTGGTTCACGATAGTAGTCAAATGGCGGATTCGAACCTACGACCTTTTGAGTTCGCGATCCGCACCCTGCCATTAGGCTACTGTCACTTTACTGTCGCTTTTTTTGTACTTCCCTTTACCACCCACGCTGCTGTGCCTTATTTTCCATGCTGTGATGTGTGTGTTGTTCGAGTTTTAAGTATGCAAGAGCAAGTGCAATAACATTATATTTCACATTCAATATTTACGAGGTAGAGCCATGCTGCAGCTATATTGCGGTCGTAGTACGAATGGGTTGACTCTACTGGGGTAGGACCACGCTCTCACAGAATACCAGCGTAAAATAGCAGCTTAATGGTGCTGTGTTTCGTATGATGAATGTAGAGATCTGGAGACCCTTTTTATTGGAATCGAGGCATTCCATCTCAGTCCTCAGGGCTGGCAACGCATCTGCATTTTGATTTTTATTTGAAGATATGTATGATGTCGATGGGCCACAGCATCCACTTAGCATCAGTTGGACTGTGTGCTCGTTTGTCACACTTATCAAAAAAACTTCCAACCCACTACAACTATAAAAATATCCTTAAGTGAGGCAACCATACACAAATAATCCCCTATGGACACTACATGGAGGAAGCATACATATGTTCTCCAGTGGGCTTCAGATAAGGCTAATGAATGTAATGATGATGACGATGAATCAGAGGAAGAGAAGACCACATATGGGTTATATGCGTTCTTCTTCGTTGAAATCAGTTTGCAGGTGTCCATTAACTGCAATAGCCATTTTCTATCAGTTTAAGCTCGTTTATAACTTTTACATTATAATTTAATAAAACGTCATATTGTTGTTTACTCTCTAAATAGCCAGTACATTAAAAAATCGATAAATAAAAAAGGTTTGTATAAAAGAAAAGTTATTTACTACGCAGAAATAAAAATGAAACGTTTCGACATCGAATATTGTTAAATATTTTAGTTCATTTCTTGACTGTGCGTATTGTGTTTAACGATTAAAATATGAACTGTTGCCGTAAGAGATAGGGCATAAGGTTTCATCTTTTAGGTCAAAATTACATTGTGAAAAGGGCTTTATTAGTCTCAATTAATTTAAAGAACTTGCAATTTAAGGTGTTTTTTTTTTAATAATGAGATGTTATCGCTCTCATTCTTCTCTACTCAACGTTTTCATTTCTTTTTCGAGACTAAAAAGTTAGTTCTGATGCTTTATAGAAAAATTTGCCAAGAGCCATACGTAAAACTAAGGAAAGCAGGTGGGTGAGTATATGTCCCGATATTTAGATACATTTGCCGCCATCAATTGGTCTTAAAACTTCATCTTTATGTCAGCATATTCCACCACTCTCAACTGTCATTTGCTTTTATAGAGGAAGTGTTTGCATATTCTTTCATACACACGTCAAAATGTAAGTAAAGCTTAAAATTTAAATACTTAGTCAATTATTCATATGGTAAAGTGACAGTTCAATGGTATTGAGATAAAATAAAATCACATTAATATTGAAGAAAACTTGACATACACGCAATGATCATGTGCTAAGATAATTCTAGAGAAAATTATTCTGATGATCAGGATAATAGGATAAAGTTTTTAAATTATTGTATTGTCATCGGTCCTGGATACAAGTGTAAATTTTAAAATAACTGGTCCTCTACAATTTGGCGAGATCCCGTTACATATATATGTAGATAAATAGATATACGCGAATCTTATACGGAATATAATAATAAAGCAATGAGTTAAGAATAAATACTATTAATTTTATATTTAAAATTGAAAATTATAAATGCATACTATAAATTACTTCGTAATAAGCTTGTCTGCTAAGGAACCAGAGTAAATGACGTATCCCAACATATCAGAAAGCTGAAGTGGTTTACTAGTCGGCCATATAGCTCGAAGAGCCGATAACTGATGAGGAAGTAAGGTGTTGGGTGGCTTCTACCAGAGGGAGTCACGACCTGGTAAAAGATGCAGGAAATCGATCAATGGAGGTGGTTCAGGACTGTGTTATATGGTGTTCCTTTTGGGGGAGGCCTAAGTTCAGAATTGGACTTTTAGAGGGCTTTACAACGTCGAGAATTAAAAAAATTAACTGTACATTAATTAAAAGTAAAATTAGTTTTAATTAATGTACAGTTAATATGCTTTATTGTGACGGATTGTAATAATAATGATGATGGTTAGAATAGATTATGTTTTTTCTCTCCACTTCCCTCAATTTTTATACTAAAAAATATGAACATGGCTGCAATGGACTGACTAATAAGCAGTAGATAAATTTTTAAACGAAACTAATCTATAAAATGGTAAGACGAGATGTGCACAGTAGGTGGCAAATTATATTATAAATATTACGCAA